TCAAGTCATACACTGTATTAGTAGCGTAGTTGTACATGTTGTAGTGAATTAGCAGACCTTTTTTTGTATTCATATGAAGCAGAGTTTATTCAAAATTTTATACATGAGAAGACAAAACACTTGCTGTGGCCTTCAACTATACATTTAGAAATATCGAGGTATTATCAATTAACAATAGTTATTTCCATTCATATGTCGACTCCATATATCCCATAAAAGGCAGAGATTTTAAGCACCGCCTTCAAAAATACCTTGTCTGTGTACCCCTGTCAATCAAGTGCGTTAAGGTACATCATTTGGTGCTAGAACTTGATTGACATTTACTTACTAGTCCCTGTGTATACCATGTACACCTTGTCTGGCACTCGTGGTGACCTTCAAATTAACTTTTGATCCTTTGATATTTACCACACATAGTATAAACAATAGGGAAGCTGTATTACTATGGAATTTTTAGCTTGATAATATAAATATATCACACACCTTTAGTATTTGAAATAATTATGATATTCTTTATGATAATATATATCAAAGTTAGGTAGAACTTTTTTTCAAAGCTCAACTAATACTTTATATAATAATATTTTTAATGGGTGGGGATGATTTGACACATTCAAATACAAATTAATAAAAATTATTGAGATTAAACTTTATTTACAACTTTTTATTTCTAATTTAAAATCATCTCAAAATCCCAACACAGGTAAAGTTTGACTTTTTGGGTATTCTACTGTGTATTAAATCACTTCCTGTGTATAGGGATTGGGAGACAAACGACCACAGGTAGACTGCTAGCCCTCAAGGCATTCACACCTGAACAAAATAAACCCCTCCCTCACCTGGAATTTACCATCCGGTAAAAAATCTCTGCCTTTAAGCTCGAAATTAAAGATACCACAGAGTATGACACATCTGTTTCATATTTGAATATTTAATAGAAAAGACCTTAATTAATGGTAACTTAACAACCAAGCTTTATGATAAACGTGATTACTTTAACTTTTCAATCGTCAGCTTCCCTTACTTATGTAGCAATACTAACAGTAGTATACCCTTGTCACTTTTATATGGGGTTTATATCTCTCAGTTGATTTGATACACAAGAGCATGCTCTACGTACGAACAATTTCTAAATCGAGGCAAGGTATTGACAAACAAGTTGATGAAACAAGAATATCATCTGTCTCGTTTAAAGTCATCATTTCGCGAGTTCTATGATCGGTACAATTACCTTGTCAGAATATATCGTCTATCATTAATTCAAATGCTGACTGACTTTTTCAAACAAATTTGTAGGCCATTATACACAATGAATTTTCTACGGATTTTTCTGTTTTTCCCGATCATGACAAGGAGCACACGGTGGGTATGACCGGTTGACAGGAGATGCTCACTCCTCCATGGCACCTGATCACACCTCTGATGTTTCAGAGGTCCGTGTTCGCTCAGCTCCTGATTAGTATTGTTTGAATGGACTTCTGAGCTTGAATACTGTTCGTTACCTCCATATTTCATTATAGCATTTTTAAAACAAACTTTGGTCTTAAAAAAATATTTGTTGAATTTACCAAAAGATTTAAGAATTACATTTACAAAACTACGGACTAGTAATCGTCATTTGCCAATTGAAACAGGGAGATTGTCGAATTTTTGGTAGGCCCTGTCCCTTCCTCGGGACATAGAAAAGGTTACAAAGTCATGAGAAAACCAAAACAGATGAAAACAAAAATATTTAGCACTACAAGTACGCTACCAAACCCTATATATTTACATTTGCTGTGTTTTAGTAAGCCAACTGTGTAATTGAGTTGAATGTTCAGAAATATACAATGAGAAACTCGCTCTAAAGTGACGTCATAATAAGGACTCAGAGACGTTAATAAAAATAGAAATATATCGGACAGAGAGAAATTCAAACATTGTGTAGATTTTTGGTGCTTATAAACATGTAAAATATAAATATAAGGAATGTTTTTAAGTTGCAGACTTGCACGTTGCGCGCTTCATGAAATATGCCTATGTGACAAGTCAATGTGATTTACACACCAATAACTCACACAAAACTTAAAAATATTCCTTAATTATATACAGTTTTACATTTTGAATTTCGATGTTGAAAACTAATTAATTTCAAATGAATCTGGACCACAGCAAGGCGCGTCCGGTCAGTCTGGTTTCCTATGGTGATGACACTTTTACAAAAATACCCCAGGGCAAGCAATCTTTGGCTGTTTGATGCTCAAAATAAACCGTGAGATGTCATAATTTTGAATAGAACATTGTTTTTATGTATTTGGGTGAATTTCCTCAATATATCATTATATAGATTCAATGTGACACATAATACTTTATCATGATTTTAAAATGAAACACATTGTACCTTTCCATAGAGCAAAATTTTCAATTATCTTGAAAAACCATTGCATATTACTCGCCATCGCTACTGAACAGTAATATCAATATTTCAATATTTATTCATTTTCATATTTCGTTCAGTAAACTTTTATTTCACTTTACATATATTTATTTAAAATATTGATTCATTAAGTTAGTTTATTCACAACAGTGAGTATAGACTAGGAAGAACACAAACAAGGCATTGACCGGACCTGCCCATCACGAGACGGATGCTGTTCAATGTGACAATGTAACGTTTACCTTGTATATACCAATGAATTAACGAGAAATGTTTGTGAGAATTGTCTTTGGATTAACATCAGTACGGTACTTTTTGTTGTCCAGCTATTTGTGATCATGACCGGTTATTGTGTTTTGCCTGTATTGTTCTTTATATGTTTGACTGTTGGTTGTGTCTTTGCAGGTAAATTATGCAATGTAAATACATGTACATGTATTATTGTGATGTCATCATTAAGGTTTTCTTTTTTACTGACGATTGAAGTATTTATCAACTCCAACATACTGATTGATTGATTGTTTATTGTTTAACGCCGAGTCGGCAATATTTCAGCCATGTTTCGGCGAACCAACATACTGAAGAGATTAATGTACACGTCGAAACAAAATTACAATTTAATTTCTCTTCATCCCTTCAACCAAATACCGTATATATTTTTTTTTACCCCCCGGGGGGGGGGGGTTATTTCTCCATTTGTTTATTTAAGAAATAAGTTATCATTTTAAAACATTAATTGAGATACAAATACGGGTTGATCACATGATCAAATCCCATATAGCCCAAAAGGCTTTTTTTTTGTAGATTTGATCACGTACTAACCCAAATTTAAATCCCGATTTTTTTAAGATGGTAATTTATCACTTGCATTTACATTTATGACTAATTTATAACAGATATTTGTGTATTTTAGTTTTAAACTCACGAAATGTTTTATATTTTCAAAACAGCGGTATAAATTGAATGCGTTGAACGCTCGCCGATCCTTTAAGACATGAAAATGAAAATGTGGTCATGTGACGAATCTGTATTGACACATAGATATGCTTTGCTCAAATATCATTATATAAGGAAAATATTTGCAAATGTTAAACTTGAAGATGAACTTTTTTTGAGATTTTAATTCATAATTTTTATTTTGTTTCACAGAGAATTTTATCAGAGATGGTGGATTGAAAAAGCCATCAAAAACTTTTACAAAACGTCAATACATGTATTTTAATGAAGTATGACGTATTCAGTTTGATTTACTTGTATTGTAAGAAGTACATTGTATCCCATGAACGCACTATAATGATGTATAACATCAATATATATTGCATCATTTTAATTAAACATTGACAGACGCTTTAACTCGTACAAGTTGTACCCACAGAGTGTTAGCATCTTTTGGCAATAAAAGCATTGTAAAATGGAAAAAAAATAATTCAACACATATTTATTTACTTTATTTCATAGTTTTATTTTGAAAGTATTTCGTATAAACTTTTTTCCAAACATCCCAAACTTGTAAACAACTTAGAAGCAGTAACAATTTAAGTAATTAGAACCTCATACTTCTTAACTTGCCATTGTTTTCTTCATAATTGTTGTGTAAGTTGTAGTTTAACCCAAAGATATATAAGTAGGATTGTATTATCTACTGGTTTAACGTGTCATCGACAGTTCTTTGATGCTTCTTAGTCTTTTAAGCAATCCAGAATAACAGAACCTCAAATGAAAACACACTGATTCGAAGTCAGTCAAACGCATGGAATTTCGGGGGTTATTCAATGAGTAATGCAACATAAAGTTTGTCATAATAAATGAAGAAGTATTCAATTTCATTTTTTAACAGTTGAAAAGTTCTATTAAGGAACCCCTAATCACAGAAAACCCCATGGTTTTTCCTATTGTTGTCGCAAGTGAATTCACTTTTAAAATAAGCATGGTCACTACACTGAGCAGATAACTGTTTGAAAATGATCGCTGCTAAGAAGAAAAAAATGATGGCGTATGTGAATACTGTGCTTCATTACACATATAGCTGGAAAAACCAATATTAAAGATATGATTTTAATATGTTAAAAGACTAGTCTTTCACGCTGTATAGTTTTCAGATGGATTCGTACTTAAAAAGTACAAGTAAAAAATCGCAGTCAAATTGGTCAATAAACATCTGTAGGGACACCAGAAAATATCACTATTGTGAGCAATTTGAGATCTGAAAATGCCAGATTTACTTTGATAGATATTGCTAAGACGCTAAACTTTTCATCGTCGCAACAGTTTATAGATTTCTGACAAATGAATTAAATCTAACAATAATTCTATCAGATGGGTGCTTTATTTCCTTACATATGCTTAATAGAAAATACATGTTAAATGGCGCAATGGTCGATTTAAAAATGAACATTTTTACTAAAAAGATTTGATAAACTTGAGTGAGAGATGTCGTAACATGGGTGTAGTTTTTATTGCCGAAAAGAAGATCCAGAATAAAATGTGGAATCAAAGGAAGTTGTCGGCCTATTATTGCAAAGAGAAGCAAGGGCTTCAAATATGTTTTCTAAATTTTCTTTTTATTCAAGAGGTTCAGTAAAACATGTACAAACAGCCAATGGAGGAACTATCAATGGTAACTTTTATGTTAAAGTTTCACTCAGGAAAGTTAAGCAGATTTCCTTCCTGCAAAGCAAGTCGAAATACAGGTCCTCAGAATATTATTCTGTACCTGACAACGCTGCTGCAAATAAACATAGAAAATTAAATAAAATTTTGAAGAAAAGTAAGTTTACAAAGCTTACTCCCCCTCCCCCCCCCCCACACACACACACACACACTATTCGTTAGATCTCAGCAATTGAGATCTTTTTATTCCAAAAATGTATGAAAGCAATCAAAAGAAGACTTCACAATTTCGATTATATTATTGAAAATGCTATTCATCAGTGTCTTTAGAGGATGTCTAAAGATGAGTATCCTGAATTTCTCTGTTCATAGGTATAAAAACTTCAGACATGTGTAAATGTTAACAGGGAATGCTTTTAGGGATTGAAAGTATTAAGAATCTGCTTTACGTGCGTTTCCTATTTTTACATGACATTTTGCATTATTTATTGAACGACCCTCGTAATGCCTATCAATGTGCTTGGCTTAATACTTCAGGGAATACATAATACTCTTTACAGTTTTCATATTTCAGCATAATAATCATGCATGTGGAATATACAAATAAATTTACACTGGAACATTTATCGACAGTAATTATTATGAAATTGAATTTACGAAGAAATATAACACAATTCTCTGGAACTTGTATTTTTATCCATTGGATTGCTTTTAATGTTGTTTAGAAATGACAATAATATTCAAATAACCAATATCTTTTGTAAATCATGTTTCCAAATTGAAAAAAAAAATCGTCGATAAATTAGAATACAATGATTAAAAAAAACGATTAATTTATAGTAAAACAGTTATTTCTCTTTTCGATGCTTCAATTCCAAATGTGCATTGATATATTTTATTATATATTAATTAAAATGCTTATAAAGTTGAAACACTAATTAATAGAAAATTTTTATAAATATTAAGATTGTTGGAAAAAGGGAAAGACGCCATGCAAGAAGAAAAGTACAAATAAAGAATAGCTATAAAAAATTAATTGGTCATGGTGGATCTGTAATTGACCGTAAGGTAATTGTTTTTTCCCTAAAACTGCCTTTTCTTGTTACACTACCTGTAATACAATTTCTTATCTATAGACAATGTACATCGATGTATCATACTTTAAATTTTCAAAGGAAATTAACGCATCAGATTTATCGTTGGATTTTTTTGACAATTTTTATTGTACTAAGTGTATATACATCTAATTTCCTATTCCGTTCAGGAAATAGTTTATGCAATATCGGTAATAAGTCTTGAGAGTCCATGAACAAGAATGAGTTACATGTACTATTTAACATACTATTTTTTACAGGCCTATGATCCCGACTCCACTATAGCTGGTCTATTGGCGGGAATGTTTGTGAAAAGAAATGGAATCGAAAGATCGGTAAGATTTTTCAGAATTTGAAGATACATGTACTATTTTATAAATATTTTAACTTGAGAAAGCAGTTCAGAATTGTCCTGTTCTTTAAAGATTAAGAAATGTTGTGGAGAAGCAGAATATTGATTACTAAATTATGTACATCATGTTGTGTATCTTTAGAGGTTGTGCCACATGGCCCTCTTGTGGAGAGGGTATTTATAGGCATTGATTTTCCCAATTCAATCAGATTGTTCAAAATAAAGTATTGTTTAAAGTAATATGCCAATATTCTTTATTTCGTCCCATATTCGAGAAAATAATACATGTATTATTTTTTTATTTGAAAATTCTTCAAATTAAGATTGACGTCAAGTTTAAAATCTTGATGATGTTTATAGTAATTAGTAATAGTATGCACTTTCCTATACCAAAATTGTGAAATTCTTGTGCTCTGGGTCTAGGGATATCCATAGCCTAAAAATCAACTGATACTTTTATCAACCGTAAGACCCATGAAACTCTTGTACAAATCTGATTTATAACATGCAAGACTTTTTTCAGCCACACATTGATTTTCAACATAGTCAAAGATATCAAGGTCAACAACTGGATTCGCACAAGTTTACTCATAAACAAAAAGTACAGTTTGGATTAGAATCAGAAAATGTAAGTTCACATATTCACTAATAATAATAGCATTTTCCCTCTAAATACTGAGAGTGTTAGATCCTGATGTATGTACTTGTTTCGATGGTCAAACTCTCACCTCACATATTTAAAAAAGGAAATTATGTATTAAATACGACAGCTGTATTATTTGTATTTACTATATATGTATTGTGTCCCCAAAATCTTAGCTATCCTGACTGTATTCTGAATAAAAAATTAGGTGCAATTGTACACTTCATTACAGGTACTTCATGACAGGCTCGATGGCAACCCCGTCCACCCACCCCCGCTCCAACATAGTCCCCGGGCTTTTTAACTTTTTTGTCAAACGTCATCTTTTAAGGACATATTTCTTATCTAATCCATGGCATCGATTCCAAAAAGTACCGGACACAATTAAACGTTTTATTTAAAAAAAAAAACAATCAATCCATTGTATATATAGTGGAGTAGAAATTTTTATAAATTGTTTGTTTTTGGATTTTTTTTCAAATTGATCCGATGGATTAGATCACAAATATGTCCTTAAATATTATTTTAAAAAGTCAAAAGGGCCTTTGGGTCTATTGGGGGGGGGGGGGAGTCCTCAATCCTGTTCTCAAGCACCTGTGAATTTCATAGAACTTCCATGACAGAAAATGTTTTTTTTTCTTCAGGAAAGTGATCTCCAAAAACGCAGAAGAAGAAACTTTATAATACAAGATGGTTCACTTTGGCCAAAAGGCGTAGTTCCGTACGAACTGGACTCAAATCTAAGTACATTGTATCGTATTGCGTTGTATTGTATTCTCTTCGAATTTTATTCATAAAATAGCATTTTATGACACAGGATCAGATTTCGTTTTCTAAACATGCATACATTCTTTTCAGCCCCCGATGCTTTGGAAGTTATTAACGCGGGAATTAAAATGATGAACAATCTTACTTGTGTCCGATTTGCCAGACTTGGAACTGCTACCGCCAGCAATGTTCCCCATGGAAACTGGGTCAGGTTTTTTAGTGGGAGGTGAGTGCGTTTTGATCATGAATGCATGTTACCAAAGGCATTGATTAACATTGGTTAACTGGCATTGGTTATTTACCAGTAATCTATCCCGACATAACGACAAGTTGTTTTTGCAAAGAAGATCATTGTATCGACCATAGAATTTGCGAAATGTTGACTTTAAACGAGATTGCTGATACCCCTGTATTATCAATTTATTTACCAGTAGCCTATCTCGTTTTAGAAATTGCTCGTACTTAGAACCAGCTTCAAATTCGATTCGAATAGTGCACCATATGCAGATGATAATGGTATTACTACATAAATAAGAAAAGTTCACGATTGGAAAATATGATGTAATCAGTTAACCATATAGAATTCAATGTAAAAGGAGTATTTTAATTGATTTTATTTTCAGCGGATGTTGGTCTTATGTTGGAATGATAGGATGGGGTCGTCAGGATATTAGCTTACGAGACCCAGGCTGCATTAGTGTATGTTACAACACAATATGCCAGCTTTAGCTAAGATTTAATTTCCCACGTAAAACCGACGATATAGATCTCAGATAACCTGTTATGTTGTCTTTTTCAGAATAGTAGATAAAACATTTTTCCACAAATATTTGGACTACCTAAACTTGTGCTAAAAAAGAACTATGAACTTTTCTTAATTTGTTTTCAATCCCATCCATATCATTTTCAATAGTTATAATCAAAACAGAATTCCATTGCATCTATCAAAAACACTCCTTTGTTAGTTGAATTAAACAGTTCTGAAATAAAACTATATTTCCTCTATTCTAATTTTCTGTAGTGAAAGCTGTTTAATATATTCAGGTTGCTACAACCATTCATGAAATGTGTCACGCTCTCGGAATGTGGCATGAGCAGAATAGAAGAGACAGGGACCGTTACATTCAACTTTACGGAGACAACATTCAAAATGGCGGACTCAGCAATATTAATTTTGCAGCCATAACAACTAGACTGTTGTATCCATACGACATATCTTCTGTTCTCCAGTACAGTTTAAATGTAAGATAGTTTAAAAACAAAATACAATCACATTAAATTTCTCAACTAAACATAAGATATATTTTTCTTTAAAGACTTTTCCCTTCTATAGTAAAGACCTTTTTCAATTAAGAACGAACATTAAACATTTTTCCTAGTCATTTGCCATTGATAGAAGTAAACCAACAATACGTTCCAAGGATCCGAGACTGGCCTTCTTGGCGGCCAAAGCCGAAGGTCTTATGTACTACGACGCACGGGAGATTACCACTGTCTATGGATGCACAAGTAGGAAGAGTTTTCTGTTTAAAAAAAGTAAAATTATTAGCGCAATGAAATTATTTTTTGGCATTTTTCCTATTGTGAACTTAGCAGAAATTTTATCATCGTCGCAAACCACGGCCAAAATATACGATCTTCTCCCATTCTGGAGAGAACTATGAGCGGACTCCGGACCGTGGCTTGAGACGATGAACTTTTTATATACTGTAGTAGTACAAATGTAAATGATGTACGAGCACATTATATATATCAGCAGTGCACATAAATTGGCAGAACAAGTGCCAAATATAAGTATCAATAAATTAAGTAATTTACTTTTTAAATTCACATTTTGAATGAATCTTTTCAAAGAGACCTTAGTTTCATACAATTAATTTATATATTGATTAATATATCAATTAATTTTGAACACATGATAAATAAACGTTTTACTAAAATTAGTATACCTTTGTGTTAATATGTATAAAAATAGTATAAATGAATAAAGCAAATACCTTTTTTGTATGCACACAGTAACGTTTCATCATTTTATTAATTTTTTGAAGAGGATTGTAACAACCCGCCTACCTGTGAAAATGGTGGCTATGTAAACCATGTCTGCAAGTGCCACTGTCCTTCACCTCTAGCCGGAAGTAATTGTTCGTCTGTCAAGTCAAGTCAAGGTAGATGAATCTGCTACCATCAAAACTTCTTTGATTTTTTTTCTATTCGCCTTAAGTCAAAATACTTTCAAAATGTATTGGACTGTTTTTAATCAAGGAAATGATAAGAATTATAGAATTCCACTGAGAGACTACATACACACACATCACAGCATATCAAGAATACAAAAACACAAGGAAAGGCTAGGCTAACTTTGGTTTTGTTTGTTTTGTTCGTTTGTTTATTTGCTTTGGTTTTTTTTTTTTTTTTTTTTTTTTTTTTTTTTTTTTTTTTTTTTTTTATTGATTAATATATTAAAAAAAACAAAACAAAACAAGGTAAGGTAGTCTATAATCCCCGGGTTCTGAAAATCAGCAGAAAAGTCATTGAAAATACTCACAAGAATATCTCTGAATTCACAAAGTAAATTAAAGTTTATTTACAAGTGGTACTTCTTCAAGTTCATCATTATACTTAATCATATAATATAGGGAAAAATCATCAAATCTCAAATATATTTTTAGGAATTGCGAATAAAAGCACATTTGTGCATCTTCTAATTGAAAATGATTCAACAAGTATATTTTTGCACAAAAAATTAAAGATATCCAGACATTCTGAGAAAATCGTGTCTTTTTTAATACGTATACAGTAGTTTAGTTCTTCTATCAACTTTTAATTGTTGTATAATACACATATAATACAAAATGTAAATAGCTTGTATAGTGTCATTGCAATCAGGCATCCCGGATTACTTCCAGTTTCATATCAAACAAATAAGCATTATATTGGTATATATACAAGACTGATTAAAGGAAATTCGTTCCTCTGAAGAAATGTATTTTTGTACTTTTATTTGGGTGCAAAGGTCAACTTTTTACAAGACCGTTTCTAAGACTTCAAAAAAACTTTTATCATATCGAGATGCATGAAATGACAAATGAAGCAAGATTTTAATTACAAGCTTCATTTTGAGACTTATTTATTCATTTAAATAATAACTTTATGAGTTATTGTTCCTGGATGATGGGCGGATATCCTTATGGATAGTCCGACTCATATAGAGATCAAATGTAACTCGTCACTTTCAAAAAAAAAATGTAAGACGTTTCTTTTTGAATATTATTCAGGCTGTGGAGGTGTCATATCTTTACCAGAAGACGGGGAACATGTTATTACGTCATCCAATTACCCCAATAATTACAGAGTGGGAGAAGAGTGCGTATGGCTGGTCAAGGTACACGCCCTAAAATTGTGTAGTAGTTATTTGAATTATTACTTTCGACTATAATGAAGTATTTACAATTCATGTCTTTCTTTCCGGAGCTAATATTTGGAATTTTTGACAGTATATATATTCCTTTTTCTTTTTCCTTTTTTAACTCTCAAGGTACATGTACTTTCTCCTTTGGTTTGCTTTATTGCAGGTACATATATATCTAAAACAAAAACATGCTGTAAATAAATGATAGTTTGATATATTAATTTTATTGGATGTATAGTTAATCAAAGTTTTACTAAAATGAATCAAAATTCCATTGTAATCACTCGAGTTCATCAAAGTAACAAAGTTTTACTATAGTGAATTAGAGCATATTCAAAGATTCAAAGTTACCGAACAGTGTACTAACTTTAATAGATTAATATTTTTTAATCACTAAATTTATGCCTTACAATTTATGGTCAATAAGAGTTTCACAGTATTTGCGAAAATGAATAAAAGAATAATTTTTTTTTTTTTACTTAACTTTAGTTACCAATTTCTAAGTTATAAATCATCTTTATTTTCCCATATTTATGTATCAATATTCCAACATCATCTGCATATGGTGTTTATGTCTCCAAACTGATTCGATACTCAAGAACATGCTCTGAATACGATGTCAAACCGAGTCAACTTACTGACAATTAGATGTTACAAAGATTTCATCCATCCCTGGTCGTTTAAAGTCTGCTTTTCGCAAATTCTACGATCGTTATAATGGTCTTGTTTGTAAATACATCCTACCGTTGGGTCGAATTTTATCTGACATGTTTCACACCATTTGTTAGGTCATTGCTTTTATACTAAATTTGACTACGGAGATTGATCACTGTTCGTTATAGTCTTTTTTTACATTCCACAGTATTCACTATATAAAGTCAAAGCATCAGGGTTTTATTATTAACGACATAAAATCAAAGTATTTAATAAATTTCAGTTAAATTTTCCTTAAATAAAAGCACATAGAAATGAGGGGGAAAATGAATGGTAGAAAGATTTTATACAGAATTTAACTCTGTGTTTTTCACACCAGATTTGGGAAGATGTAATGTGTTATTGCGTAATGTGTTATTGCTTTAAAATTTATCTTTCAAATGTGCATTATTTGTCCAGCTTAGTGCGCAGTACCATGAAATTTATCCATCTCTTTGTGCATTACCATTGAAATTCATCCAAATCCAAGTGCATAGCTATCTCTCCTTTGTTTGCAGGCACCACCAGATCGCCATATACAGCTGACTATAGACTTCATGGATGTCTCTGATAATGGTTACGACACATGCTATCATTGGTTGGAAGTCCGATATAACCTCATGGGACAAGACGGCCCAGAGTATATGAACTTATTCTTGTGATTTCCTATTAAGTTAATGTTTCATAGTTTAAATTCGCAGCTGATTTTGTTATTTAATTCACATTATCGGAAACATGAAAACAGTCTTCATAACATAAAGAATGCACTTATAAAATGTTCATTGTTTTTTTTTTTTAATAAACCAATTAAAAAGTTCAAAAACGACAAGTTTGAACACAGCGAGGTTAACTTTATTTTTTACAGGAATGGAATACAATAATTTCTTTACTGTAAAAACGAAAAGATTGTGAGATATAAGTTTTTTTTACAATAAGCAGGAACACATTTATATTTTAGACTTTGCGGTCTGCGAAAAGCAGAAAGAATCTACACAACAGCTGATGAATTAAAGAATGTAATGATTCTGAGGTTCAACACAGCTGTCTCCAGCGACAGGCCACCATCTAAAGGATTCCACCTTACTGTCAAGAGCATTGGAATGAGTAAGTAAAATATTATGCTGATGGTTACTGTTCAAAGAAAAAGAGCGTTAGCAAATGAGAATGAATTTTTTTCTTAACTATGGAAAATGGGAATCGTTGAAATTTAACTATTTATGTTGAAATTTTGATGATTTATTTTCATAATATTTAAAAATGATCAATGAAAAGAAGATACACATGTAATGTACTTGTAATTTTAATTGACAACTGTTCACTGTTAATTATTTTGCATAATTTGCTGCAATATACGAGGGTTGTCCCAGAAAAACGCGAACTTTTTAAACATTTCATAAACTACCTGACCAAAGCTATTCATTTTTGGCACAATGTTGAGAAATAATGTTTCCGTCATTTTGACCAAATACTTTAAGGGTGGAATGTCATATGCATTTATTAACAGCGTTTAAAGAGTTTTAAATATCGGTGGTCGGCGCACGTTAATTTCTTGACTTTCAAACTTAGCATTGCCATATATGTTTTCTTTATTACAAGGCTATTTGGAAATATAATGTGACAAAATTTATATCTACAGAAACTGTACGACCTAGAGTTCTCGTGTATAAAAATTAATACTGTCTTTCACTTCATAAATGAAAATAAAATATGACGTTACATGACCAAACACTATAAGTTGGATATTGTCAAAAACGGCGACGTTTTGCGATAATTGCTACGTTTTGACGTCGTCGGTGTAATTGCGCCGGGAGCTACTTTGAATGATTAGTTTATCAGAGAGAAAAGTGTTATTTATAGAGATATTTTATTGAATTTTCTGTGATTTATGTAAAAAATCTTCATTGGTGCATACCAATTTTTAACTTTATAATATAAGTGAAACGGAAAATATTGAAAATGTTTGCGTTTTTCTTGGACAACCCTCGTACTTAAAATTTAAACAAAAACCTAGATTTCGAGTGATCTTCATCACTTTATGATTGTGTTCTACAGGTTGCGTTGACCACCCCTGTGTCTTCGGTAAATGTGTAGACACCAATACCTCGTACTGGTGTGAATGCCAGACCGGGTTTAATGGAACCAATTGTGATCAAATTATCGACGGTAAACTAATGAAATGATTTTACTTTTTGGGAATGTTTGACAAATTATATGATAGACATTGTGAAATTTTCATTTAATTTCTTCAACAGAAAAAGACGTGATGTCTTTGATTTTTCAGGTGTCGATTTTTCAAAATCCATTTTATCTTTTTTCACTTCATTTTAAAATATTTATTCCTTTTTAAATTAGTCCCATTAGTGCTTTTTAACTTCTGTCTCTGCAAAAGAATATAAATAAAGCAAACGCAAAAATTCCTCTAAAAATAGAGGGAAAAGCTAAACAGATGAGATTCATTATACAAATGTGTATATACGTAAGACAATTAACATGAATTTCTTCTTCAGCAAACATGTACTTCTTTGCTAACTTTGATGACCCTGGAATGATAATTTTACAAAATGAAGCCACAGACTCTTTTGACTGGACCCTAAACTCGGTAAATCACTTAACTATTGTTTTTTTCTTCAATTTTGACATTGAAGTAAGCCATGTTTTATTCCCATTTAAAACGTATAGCGAATGGTTTTCAATTTTTATTAAATCTAGAATACTATTCAATAGAGATACACCTACATGTTGAGCTATTTATATTCATGAGTATTTATACTAATACTATTACAATTTTTTCTATTTATTTATTTGAATTTTGTTATAAATTGATAAAATAAACCATTATAATTGTAACAGTTTAAAGTTACACGCATAAACATTTTTTTCATTTTTTAATTTACTTATATTTTGTATTTTTTGAGTAGAACGAAACACCTTCTTCAAATACAGGACCAAGCTATGCTCACTCGGGAAAATATTACATGTACATTGAGACATCTTCGCCCCGGTCCCAGGGCGATACTGCTATTCTAAGTACAGGATTGGTCAGTTTTTCAATAGGTATGTCTTTTTTAAAAAAAATAGAACGTAAGTTTTTACTTCTTAAAATCATGCTATTTGTTGGTTTTTCGAGGATATTCTAATACGTATAAAACTGTAATGTTAAATCGGAATTTCGGTCAGTCCGATGTACAATTTTTTTTTTTGAGCACAAATTAGCTGCAGAGAAATAATGGAAGGTTGCACTAGATGCAAGACGCTTTTTATGTGGAAATGCACATTGATATAGTAATGTTAAATCTGGGTTAGACCATATCCTAGCTATTAACAGAAAGTGCATTGGAGATCCTTGCATGAAACCAAGATTATAACCTTATGGTGGTTATTTAATGACCCAAGGTCAATTATCAAGTTCAACTTCAACAGCAGAAAGTTATTAGTGGCGCAATTCGCTGACACAGAAGCATTGTAAGCTAATACAAAGTTTGCTTGTGATGGCATGATGTTTTACGTAATGCTAATTCAAGGTTAATATGCAAATTTGAGGTAAGAAGAGAAAATTAATAAAATTGTTTATGGGGATAATTTCGCAAAGAAAGAAACCAGTTGTATCTGTCGCACGATTACTGAGTATATAAGGGCTGAAAATTTTCAAAGATCAAAAATACCAAAGTGCATACTGTAGCAATTTAAAGACGTATTGAATGTTCATCTGATTTTTAGAATTGTTCATGAACAGAAAGAAAGTGAACCTGACACTAAATCACTTAAAATGAAATCCATTGGTTTATTAGATTATTAAATTTACGTCTGTTCAACTTTATTATAATAAATTGTAAAGTTTTCTAAACAGCTGCCTACATTATAAGCAATTTAATAAATAACAGTTGTTTTACAGCGCAAGAGAGGTGTCTGAAATTCTTTTATCATATGTATGGATCGACAGTTGGTTCCCTAAAAGTATTCTACAAAGGAACAGATATTGCAAAAACAGTGGCATTCAGTCGATCTGGCGACCAAGGAAACCAGTGGATTCAGGCTGAAATCGATATTCCTGCAGTACAAAATCTTAAAGTATGAATTTTCAATATAATATAATTCAACGGTGCTTTAAGAAATTAATGTCTCTGAGGGGAAAAACGTATACGTACAGTTTTACTTTATAGATTGATTTCGAGGGAATGGCAGGATCTAGCTTCACTGGAGATATTGCTATTGATTCGATAGAGCTCCTCAGCCATGGCTGTTGTATGTACCTACATGTAAACAAAACGGAAAATTTAATGACATATTAAAGTATATACTTTTGAATACCTAATGTGAAGGTTTCTTATATATATATATATTCTTTTTTCACTGTTTCTACCTGCACTACAGCTTCAACTACAATTGCATCTCCTACTATTAGTACTACTGTGAAACCTACCATGCATATGGAAACAACTGTTGAAGACACGCCCACACCAATAGAAACCACGCCTACAAACAATATCACCTCTCCTATAAGTATTGAAGATGCACTAAACAAGAATAAGTCTGGAAGTAGTCAAGAGACCACACCTACCATCATTAAGGACTCAAACATTACCCCGAATCAAACTACTACAGCAACAGGAACAACAATACCTTCCATTGGTTTATTTTTTTAGCATTTTTCAGCTGATTATTACGAAAGTCAAATTAAAACTTAAAATACTATTCCTTTGGATTTTTCTAATAAGTAAGTTTAATTTTTAGTTAAATGTGGATTTGAAACTGGAAAAACTTGTTTTATGGAAAATATGGCCCAGAGTTCAAATCAGATTGGGAAAGAGGTTCTGATTCAGCCTGATATACAGAAGGATGACTTTGATTGGACCATCGGTCACTTGGTATGGAAAATAATCTGAAAAATTTGCATTGTAATTTTTTGAGTACGTAGAGAACATTTTTAATATACATAGTATGGCATGTGTGTTTTATTTAGCAAATAGAATACTGCATCTGATTATGTGCAAATTGATCACTTATAATTTATCTGTATTGAATTTTATCTAGAGGATATTTTCAATGGTATTTTATTCAAATCATCTTTTCGTTTGATATCCAGTCATTTAATTCCAGGGACCAACTTTGTCTTCTGAAACCGGCCCTTCCGCTGCATACAGGGGTTTCAGATATGCTTTTATCGAAGCATCTAATCCTAGAAAACAGGGTGACAGAGCAATCTTGAGAACAAATATTACATTTAAAGGTGATTTGATTTGAACATTTTTTTATTGTTTAACACAAAAGGATCAGCAACAAGTTCTTACAACTTCCAAGTTCTTCTCCTTGTGTTAGTAAAGTAACAGTTAGTACAATTGTCACAATATTAATTTTCATTTTGTTAGTAATTATCTCTGACTAATGTTATATACATGTAAGTAAACATAGAAATCAGTATATAGTATTTAGGGTTCCAAATTCTTTCAAGTTAATATTTGAATTTCAATCGGTGCAAACTTAAGAATGTGTGATGCAAACATAGTAATGTAACTTTTTTAAGGTCACCTGAACCGAAGGTTCCAATGAGTTTTTATGAACACCTAGTTCTCCGTCCGTCGTTTGTCTGTCTGTGAACTTTCCTCATTTTCAAATCCGTCTCCATAACCAGTGGACCATTTTCAACCAAACTGCCACAAAGCCTCATTGAGTAAAGGGTGTTAAAGTCCCCTATTTTGAGTGGAAATATAATCAAGTTAAAGGGAAAAAAGAGGAATAATTAAAGTGTAAAGTCTGTTAAAATAATGGACCCCTTTGGGTAGGGTTGGTCACAATAGGAATAAAAATTTTACATTGGATTATTAAAGAAAAAAAATCATTTAATATCTTAACTTCAGCTTGTACAGATTCAAGCTTGTTCAAACCATGGTCACTGAGTGTATGTTTGGCAATGTAAGGGTAATCATTTTTTTTAATGGATTAATTAGTAAAAATCCTCTTCTAAAAAACTGGCCATAACTAGTCATATCATGCAAACATCAATAAGGGATCAAAGTTTTATCTCTGGATATATATATATATATATATATATATATATATATATATATATATATATATATATATATATATATATATATATATATATATATATATATATACTTATATATATATATATATACTTATATATGTATATATATAAAAAATATGTATTAGAAAGGAAGCAAGACCTAATTTATACCAAATGTATATGCAAACATTCCAAATTGTTTGGATCCAGATTTTTCCTCAAATTATAGATTATGGGGTGAAGGCAGGGCTAAATTCAGGATTCAAATTATGCAAAATATATGTAAAAAAAAATCGATAGAACAGCAAGCCTGAATGAGACATTTAGATAATGAAGCATTCCAGTGTCATTTTCATTGAAGTTTTTGTAATACACCTTAAGACTAAGTTGGGATATGTATTTTTCCATAAAAATAAAATGAAACAAGATGTGTTTGTGAAACACTGATGCCCCCGTATAGCAGCTTATGGCGAAGGTTAAAGTAAAGTTTCTTAAAAGTAAGTCAAAATCCAGGCCAAAGAAAGGTCTTGTCTCGTGGAATATACCTGTGAAATTTGAAAGCCTTAGCTGCAACTGTTCAAAAATTATGGCGAAGGTTAAAGTTTTTTAAAAGTAAGTAAAACGTCAAGGTCAAAGTTGTTGGTATCCAAAGGAAGGTCTTGTCACAAGGATTACATATGTGAAGTATGAAAGCCCTAGCACCAACTATTCCAAAGCTATGGCCAAGCTTAAGGTTTTTCAAAAGTAGGTCAAACTCCAATGTCAAGGTCAAAGGGTCAAAGTGATTGGTATCCAAAGGAAGGTGATGTCACAAGAATTACATATGGGAAGTATGCTCTAGCATCAACCATTCAAAGTTATGGCTAAGGTTAAAGTTTTTCAAATGTACGTCAAACTCCTAGGTCAAAGTCAAAAGGTCAAAGTGGTTGGTGTCCAAAGGAAGGTCCTGTCACAAGGATTAGATATGTGAAGTATGAAAGCCCTGGCTCCAACCATTCAAAAGTTATGGCCAAGGTTAAAGTTTTTCAAAAGTAGGTCAAACTCCAAGGTCAAAAGGTCAAAGTTATTGGTATCCAAAGGAAGGCCTTGCCAAAAAAAATACACATGTGAAGTTTGAAACCCCAAGCACCAACTGTTCAGAAGTTATGGCCAAGGTTAAAGTCTCATAAAATTTTGTTAAAGTGGGTTGAACTCCAAGGTCAAATGTGATGGTACCCATAGAAAGGTCTTGTCACAAGAAATACACATGTGAAATATGAAAGTCATAGCTCCAACTAATCAAAAGTTATAGGCAAGGTTAAAGCTGACAACAGACAGACAGGACAAAAACAATATACCCCCGGGATCTTTCGATCCGGGGGCATAAAAATCTAAAATTCTGAAGCAGAACAGTAGAACCAAAGTGACTCAATTGAGCGCTATATACCACAGGGCCTCTTGTTTTCTGTTGACAATTTACTGTTCGTAATAAAACTCGATGTCAAATAATTTTTTTTTTTTGCTATACAATATATTTCAGAAACAATCCAGTGCCTCAGTTTCTCATACCATATGTATGGGACTTCCAATGGAATGGGAACACTAAATGTCTTTTATACTGGAAGTAATGGAACAGTCAGCAATATATTCAAACAAAACGGAAATCAAGGCAATTCATGGAAGAGAATAGCTGTAGAAATTGCACCAACAAGTGGACTTCAGGTATGCAAGAAAACGTGTATGACACTTTGGAAAACATTTCTTTGGGAACTGTATTATTTAATGTTTGGTTTTTGTTAATTATTCTTAAAGTTTATGCTGTCTCAGGTTACATTTTGTACCTGCGGTCAACGCGTTCGCTTCTCGCCTTTGCTCGGTTCCAAGTAAAACCGAAGACGTTAACATATCTTTTGCAAAGCGCTCGAGATTAAAAATATAGAAGCGTATAAGTGCCAGGTAATATTTTTGTTAAAGTTGGAAATTCCAACTTTAAAGTTGCCTTTTCCAACTTATGGTAGAAATTAGTTCACAATAATTCGTACTTAGTTCAATCCGTGGCCTTACCCACAAAAACAAATTCATTTGAAAATCATAGCTTTAAAGAGATCCATAAAATGCATCAATACACTTTGACTTAAAAAATATTTCTCCTTTGTTTCTACCTGTATATAGTTTTAATTAATTTCTAGAGGTTTCGTTGATATTTTGCAGATCTATTTTGAGGGCATCTGCGGGTCGAGTTACAGAAGTGACATAGCTATTGATGATGTCATCGTTAGCGAGGGTATATGTGGTACGAGTGGCTGTCACCAAGTGAAAATTACATCATTGTCAGTAATGATGGCCGTAATACTGTCGCTTCAAATACTGTCTAATCAGCAATAAAGTTGTTAGAAAAGACAAAAAAAGAGTGTGTTGTTTACGTAATAAATATAAATCCTAATCATGAAGGAAATTACAGTTGTCAGGAGAATGTTTGTAATCGTTTTGTATTAAAGTCGAATTAAATGATAACTATTGCAAAACCCACTTGAACGTAGACTTTAATCTTGAACAATTGTAATATTGGATGGAAAAGACATTCTTTATAGGAATCAATACGTGCTCAAGGTGACTTACTGTCTCATGAAACACCAGTGGTTCTAAAGTCGTTTTTCTCCCAGAGAAAATAAAAAAGATCGTCCATACCCTGAACAGGCATGGGGTAATTGAAATGAGAAATTGTAATTAACTTTATTTGAATACATTTTTTCAAAGTAATTGGATGTTTTTAAATACATTCCAATAATGTCAAGTATTTTCAATTACATTTCAAATACTTTATTTTTCAAGTCACAAATCTAAAAAAAAAAGTTGTTTTATAATGATGCATAACAGTACTGTTTGACATGAGCTTGTGTTTGAGTAATAATCAAATGGCTAATAATGTTTATACAGTATGACCATGCACACTGTCCAGGGCAATTGGTAAAGATTTCAAGATTTTTAGATATAAAACTATTGTATTTATTTTAATTACATTCTTCAAATTAATTGAGAGTAATTAATAACATTTATAAAAATGAATGAATTATAATAATTGCAAGTAAGTGACAAAATTAACAATGTATTTGAAAGTATTTAATTACATTTCAAGGATTTGACCTAAACCCTGACCCTGATCAGTTATAATAGAAATTTTATGAATTTTAATGGGTGGCTTAAATATCTTTTAAAGTACAGGATCCATGCATTGATATATAAAAAAGCAGCTCGGGTTATAATGTAAGTGCAAAATGGATTTACAAGATGTGTATATTGCTGTGGAATATAGTACATGCAATTAAAAACCTCTCTATGACGACGAATTTGCATTTGACAAATAACAAATTTCACAACCTGAATTTTAACCCAAGACGAATAATCCTAGATGTAGAATATTAATAGCTTAATAATCAAACAGACGATTTTGATTTAAACAGGATGTGCAATAGAACCCTGCAGACATGGAGGAAGATGTAACCCAGGAGGAACATCTGGGTACACTTGTACTTGTAAAGGAGGATATGGCGGACATAATTGTGAACTATTAGGTAGATATATGTATGTAACTTTTTGTCATGACAAAGATGTGAATATGATGTTGATTGACATAAATAAATCGTAAACCTATTTTTCAAAGTCAATTCGATCCTCTGCACGTTTTCTGATGGGATTTGTTCCTTTCTGGCTCAATCGACAGACGATGGTGGAGATTGGAGCTTTGGACAAGTATTAAACATCATCTACCCTCTTATGTGAAAACGAATGAAAAGAATTTTATTAGTCAAGTTAATTTCTGCTGGCTTTCTTTACCTCTTTCTCACTCGGAACTATTTTAACCATAATATAAATAATACAGATGAGAAGCAAATTTTTATGTTTCCACGATCCGTGCTCTTTTAGGACTGGTTTACTTGCTTATGAATTCCTTTTTTTTATTCTCAGACAACTCCAAGCATTGATACCGGACCTCAGATTCCATTGGATGGCGCGTTTGCTTATACTGAATCCACATTCAAAAGTCAAGGAACAACCTACATACTGACGACTGCAGGGACTCAGCTAGGTGTCCAAATTTAATCACAAGTTACTATTTCAATACAGCGTACATCAACAATTTAATTTGAAATGTTATTAACATACTGATTTTAGTTGGAAATGAGCTTGTTCTTATATCTTGCTGGAGCCTGATGTCAGTCTTCGCATGACATGCGTGTATAATTGCAGATACAATACTGTGAATAGAAAAAACAAACAAACGCACAAACATCTACAATGTATGTTTAGCTCCAACTCAAAATCCAAATATTTTGGATATACTTACAATTTAATCTTTAATCACTTGTAATACTATTCCTTACATTTCAGCTAACCAATACTGGTGCCTATCCTTCTATTACAACATGTATGGAAGAGATACGGGGGCACTAGCTGTAAGGGCTGGCTCCTCTGGAGGACCATTACCATACAAGTGGTATTTGTTTGGCAATAGGGGTTTACAGTGGCATTTTCAGGAGTTGTCCATCCCGCCTTCTCCAAGACTAGTTGTAATTATAAACCTTGCAATTCCTGCTGTTGCTTTGTAATAATGTTCCTTTTCTTAAAAGCCCGGCATTAGTCTTCTACAGTTGTAGTTTTTTTAACAATTCTTTTGCTTGATTTGTTTTAGATTGAATTTTTGGCGATCAGAGGATGGGGATATCGAAGTGACATTGCCATAGATAACGTGTCGCTTACTCCAGGATTGTGTTCAGTTTGACAACCAAATTAAAATTATAAAAAGCATAAAATATTTAACTCCGGTCACAAACTTTACAAAGAAAATAAGTAGAATTACTATAGCGGTCTACACTTATACATAGTGCAAAATACTCCTTTTCTGAATGATTATACCAGTGGATAACAGTGTTGCAACAAAGAAAAAAAAAACCTTTTTCCATAATTTTTTACATTTCAATGTAATTACCGATGACCAAATTTTATGATTAAATTTATTTTGGTGCACTAGATATGAACACCTTAAGGGTAAACCAATGTGAAATAGTTTAGGTTTAATTGGATTGAATAATAAAGATTCTTCAGATTTTATTGCGTCTAAAATTCTGTCACAACGTGGTGATAGTTATTACATCAAAGATGTATACATATATAGATTTTGTTAGTTTTTGTGTAGGCGTAAAAAAAAGAAAAGAAAACAACAACAGTACATGCAATGCCTAGGTTCAAGTGAAAAAAAGATACCCCAACTGTTTTATTCCATTTTGAAGTCAGAATCTTCATGAAACGTTGATAACTTGTGTACATCTTAAGAAACAAGATGTGTTTGTGAAACACCAATGCCCCCGTATGGCAACTTATGGCGAAGGTTAAAGTTTCTCGAATGTAAATCAAACTTTAAGGTGAAGAGATCACAATTGTTGTTACCCAAGGAAAAGACTTGTGTCAATGGATATAGCCGGTAAATATGAAAGTCCAAGCACCAATCATTCAAAAGTTATGGTCAAAGATAATGTTTTCTAAAAGTGGGTCAAACTCCAAGGTCAAGATCAAAGGGTCAAAATTAATGGTACGCAGAGAAAGATCTTGTAATAAGAAACACACATGCAAAATATTAAAGTCCTAGCACCAAGGTTAAAGTTTTTCAAAAGTAGGTCAAACTTCAAGGGCAAGGTCAAAAGATCGAAATTGTTGGTATCCAAAGGAATGTTTTGTCACAAGGAATATACCTATGAAATTTCAAAGCCCTTACACTAACTGTTTAAAAGTCATGTCCAAGGTTTTTTAAAAGTGGATCAAACTATAAAGTCAAGGTCAAAAGGTCAAAAATATTTACACCCATGAAAAGGTCATGTCACGATGAATATACATATGAGATATGAAAGCCCTAGCACCAACTGTTCGAAAGTTATGGCCAAGGTTAAAGTTGGGTAATTTTTTGCAAAAATGGGTCAAACTCCAAGGTCAAGAGGTCATATATTTTGGTAAAATAAAGGAAGGTCTTGTCATAAGGAATACACATGTGAAATATGAAAGCCATAGCTCCAACCAATCAAAAGTTATGGGTATTTTAAAGTTTTTGCGAACAAACAGATAAACAGACAGACAGACAGACGGACGGACAGGGCAAAAACTATGTACCCCCGAATCTTCGATTACGGGGGCATAAAAAGAATTTGCAATAATGAAAATAAAACTTTGCTCTGATTTCACATGTATATTACCGTAAATCTACATTAATTTTGTTTTTGCATATTTTCGACAAATAGTCAAATATCAAATTTTGATATTGATATTCATTTATTACAAGATTAATTTGTCAATTAAGAACGATGCTTCATGTAAGACTTTGTATTTTATAGCAATCTGTTTCTGTCAACGGTCAACTAAAACCTTCATTAAAAGTCATTTTTAATTTAAAACAACATACATTTTTTACTCGACAATATAGACAAAACATATTCACCCTATTTCAAGTTCATTTTTCGCGTACTAATATATTGATCGGTTTTATATCATATTTGCGTGCGAATATTGTGTATCATAAATCAAAAAATCTAATTATCATAACTCTTAAAGTTATAAATGTAAGGCTTCAATAATAGATGTGTTTTAACTTATTACAATATTCTCAGCAGCGAAGGGGAAATAAAATCAATACTCGTGAAATTACTTACTTGTCATTGGTCATTTGCAAAATTATTTTGTTGATATATATATATATTGGTTGTTAAAGCAGAATTTGTCGAAAATCTTATACGTGAAAAGAAGAAAACACTTGCTGTGGCCTTCAACTCGACATTTAGATATATCGACGACGTATTGTCAATTAACAATTATGGTTATTTCTATTCTTATGTCGATACGATATATCCCAGTGAGCTTGAGATAAAAGATACCAAAGAGCCTGACACATCTGTTTCATATTTTGATATTTTACTTGAAAAAGACGTAAATGGTAATCTAACAACCAAGCTTTATGATAAACTTGATGACTTTAACTTTTCAATCGTCAACTTCCCTTACTTATGCAGCAATATACCTTCACCACCTGCATGCGGGGTTTATATCTCTCAGTTGATTCGACACGCAAGAGCATGCTCTAGGTATGTACAGTTTCTAAAACGAGGTAAATTATTGACAAACAAGTTGATGAAACAAGAATATCAGCAGTCTCGTTTAAAGTCCTCATTTCGTAAGTTCTATGGTCGATACAATGACCTTGTCAGCAAATACAATTTATCATTGAGTCAAATGCTGACTGACTTTTTCATACTAATTGTTAGACCATTATTTACACACTGAATTGTCGACGGATTTTTCCGTTATTTCCCGATTATGACAAGGAGCACACGGCGGGTGTGACCGGTTGGCAGGGGATGCTCACTCCTCCATGGCACCTGATGCCACCTCTGATGTTTTGGAGGTCCGTGTTTGCTTTGCTCCTATTTTGTATTGTTTAATGGACTTTCGAGCTTGAATACTGTTCGTTATCTACATATATTTCATTGTATAGTTTGATAAGAGGTTTTTACTATCGAATTAGCTATATTTCTGAGGATCAAAGTATCGAGACATACGGTCAGAACCTGGAGGTTTTGTAACATTTATTACTTGGAGCTGATCCAACACCTCCTGCTCTGTAATAACAAAATCATCAAGTGAATAGTTTAATGGTGGCCCGGGTCCATGTAATGGTACCTCAGATTCATTGTAAAGGGTTTATGCTCCAGCAAAATATTCATTAAGTAGCTTAGCTTTGAACACAAGAACTCCTGATCTATAGGCCATGATTTTCACAATTTTGGAAGAAACAAATTGATATTGTTCATCATAACTATGCACTTAGTTTACCTATTCTATACTCTATACATAAGAAAAGACAAAATTATTTAAAAAATCATGCATTTTCTTTATATAATTAATAAAGAACACCAGAATCCCTGACAAGGAGCCATGTTTTTCCACAATAATGGAAGAAGCACTGTTGCCTATCATAACAAGTTTGTAAAATACTCAGGGGCAGGGAAGATGTTCAAAGAAGTTAATGCATTTTCAGTAAATGATCAATAAAGCCCCACTCTGACTCCAGAACCCCTCACAAAGGCTAGGGACCATGAATTTCACAATTTAATGTGAGACATTCTTTCAATAACCATGCCCTTGGTTTGTCTGCTAAATATGCAAGGGGAGAGAAGAAGCTTTTTAAAGGATTTCTTCATGTTTACTGTAAAAGAGACCTTCCCTTACTCCAGAACCCTGACCCTGGGGGTCATAAATTTTAAAATTTTGGAAGAAGCACCCGTTTTCATCATATGTATGCCCTCAGCTTGACTGCTAAATACCCAGGAGCAGAGGAAGAGATTTTTCAAGAATCTATGCATTTTTCACTACTTGCTCCTACATTGTTTGTGTTAGTGTTAAGTACACCAAAATTATCATAATATTGTGCTTTAACTTAATACACTGTATTCATCTCTATACCACTGGCCTTTCTTGATCTTTGAATAACATTCAATTTACAAATATAGGGTACGTTTGTCTTATTTTCATTCATCTATTTTTCAGTTAACCTGAACATTAAAAGCTACATATGTACTTTTTCAAATTATACATTGAAAAATCTCGCATACTTCTTTTATTCAGTGTACCTATCAGCTACATTATTTACAGTGATTAATTATCATAACAATAAAGGACAATTACTTTTTTATTTCCATACATCAGAGCCCTACCCAAATCCAAGATTAGCAGAGAGGATTTTCAAGAAATAAATACATTTTCACTATATGATCAAAAGAGCCCCGTCTTACTCCAGAGCCCTTGACCAAGGGATATAAATTTTACAATTTTGTAGGAAGCACTCGTGCTCATAATACAAATGCATTAAATTTGTCTGCTAAATACCCGGAGCAGAAGAGATTTCAAAGAACAAATGCATTTTTCACTATATGATTAATACGGCACCGCCTTATTACCAGAACCCCAAACCCTGGGGTCATTAATTTCATAATTTCGTAAGAGGCACCCTTGCTTAGCATCTAAGCAGTCAGTCTGCTTAAATACAGAGAGATGAAGATGTGTGATGAATTTATGTATTGGAAGAATAGACGATGGACGAAAACACATAGCAATAGATCTCCTGAATGATCAGTTGATCTTAAAAAACGGTTCTAACACGTTTGTTGTTATTAGGTTAATAACAGCAAGTGGTTGACATAAGAAATAAAAGAAACATGCATTCTGAGAGTACTGCATTAGCAATACTAGTCCCCTACCGCCAAGTGTAATCTGGTTCCCGTTAAAAATTAAAAATGCCATAATTCCGTCAAAAATCAATGAAGCGGAAGAAAATGCAAACTTGATCTATAACTCACCAAGGTAAAGTCACATACCAAAAATCAGCTCAATATGCGGAATCAGCTCAAAATGCGGAAAACCCTGAAAAATTGAAATGGTCGTTATTCCGTCAAAAATCATTGAAGCGAAACGAAATGCACACTTGATCTGTAACTTATCAAAATACACTCACATACCAAAAATGAGCTCAATATCTGCAAGCGTTTAGAAAAAAGTGCGGAAAACCAATGGGGACAGACTGACAGACAATTACAGACGGACGGACGGAGGGACAGACTCAGAGAAAACCTGTATTCCCCTCCGGTTTCACCGGTAGTGGACTAATAAAGGAGAAATTACAGTCACGTGAGTAAATCTAAAAAAAATTATTACTAGTCAGAATTATACAAAATTGGAAGAACG